CACATTTCACCTACCTTTTTCATTTCCGTTTCCAAATCACTCTTCAAATCCTCCAACCAAACACAACATTAGGAAATGAAGTGCAATACATGAATTGAAGTGCAAAAATGTAAAGAACTGTAAAACTAGAAGGAAAATGAAGTAAATAAATTGGTTTTTTGATCTGAGTCTAAGGGGCTTCATTTTGGGGCATTCCTTACTATTTATACTTTCCAGTGGTAACTGTCAAAGTGGGCTTCCACCCATCGAAATGTCCTCCCATGATTACTAAACATGCTCTCTCACAATTAGTCCCACTATGCTATTCTTGCAGTTAGGCTTCCGTCATGATTTTGAATTTAAATTTTATGAGTAACTGTTAGGCCACATCATCTTGTATCTTTCGATTGTTCCAGTGCTATGTAGATCCATTATTATCAATATGAACTGCCACGTGTCTGACTTTGATTGACAATTTGTGTTAACTTCCCAAATTGCTCTCTTCGTGCTACGTGTTAAATTGTGATTGATTTTTACAAATTATACAACCAACAATAACTTTTTAAAAATAAAATAAAATAAAGATAACATTTTCATATTATCAAAATCCAGCATTTCTTTTATATAGATTTGCCTAAAATCTCTGTTATATATTGGAAAGAGTATTATTATTCAAATTCAAAAATTAAATTCACTTTTTAAATTCAATCACGTGGCACTTTATTAAAACATTTAAGTTGACTCTCTCTCTCTTATTTAGGCCTTGTTTGGGATAAATTAAAAAAGTCAAAAAGTTATTAAAAATGTTAAAAAGTCTATACTATTCAAGAGTAACTTATTATTTTGCCCTTTAAATTCAATTATCCAAAAGGTCAAAAAGTTAAAATTCAAAAGGATAAAATTGTTATTTTGATTTTACTATAATATTTTATTACACATCTTTTCGTAAAAAGTAAAAAAATTATCACAAATATATATCTTTTTTCTCTACTTTTTTAACCAAAAAATTAAAAAGTGTACTTATATAACACATCCCAAACAACTACTTAGGCTTGGTTTGGCATACACTATAAAAGTCAAAAAGTCAAAAAGTTACTCAAAAAGTCAAAAAGTTAATGCTATTTACTAAAAAAAAAATATTAAAAAAATATTATCCACATAATAATACAAATAAAAAAAAATACAATTAACAAGGTACGACGTGTTGGGCCCGTCAATGACCGGGGAAAAAAAATAGAGTAAAATATTCATTAAATTGGATGGTAGAGCTGGGCTCGTGGGGGCTCACCATAGGTCCCGTTTTGGTAATCTGAACCGTCAATATGTAGAAATCGTCTAGTACTATATGCCTATAAAAAATCACGTTTATCGGATATCGCTAAATATATGATCAAATCAGTTTTGTATAAAAATAGATAGTGTTATAATTAACAGTTAACAAAAAAAACTAACACGATCAGATAGCTATCGATATCCAATCAACGTGATTTTTTATAAGTATATAGTACTCGACGAATTTTACACATTGAACGGTTCCGATTAGTAAAAAAGGACCCGTGGTGGGCCCCATGGGCCGAACAAAACCGACCAATTTGTGTCTGAAAAGTAGAGAATCAATCCCCTACACACCTCTGCAGCGCTGCTTCCAACTGTACGGCCTACACTATTACTTTAGTCCCTTATACACTTATTTATACAATTTTTTAATACACATTTTTTCATAAAAAGTTAAAAAGTTAACTCAAACATTCATATTTTTTTTCTCAACTTTTTAGTCTAAAAAGACAAAAAGTACACTTATAATTTAGGACACCCCAAACAACCCCTTAGTCTTCATTTAAAAAAAAAAAAAACTTAATTTTTTGACCTTTTAATTATCTTAACTTGACTAAAAAAATTTCGTTTGAGATGAATTTTTAACTTTTTTATGATTTTGTGAGAAAAAATAAAATAATTATGATTTGAATGTAATATTTTACAAATATTAAGGGTATGTTTGGTTTGTGTTTGAGAGATGTGTTTTAGAGATAAAAAGTACGAAAAGTTGTTTGGTTTGGTTTTTTTCAAAAGATGTTTTGGAAAATTATTTTAAGAGAGAGTTTTGGAAAAAGTGATTGATTTGATGTGTGTGAGAGAGAGATTTGTTTGGAAAACTTGTTTGGTTTACAAGTTTTGAGAAATTTTTTTGGAAAAATTTGTTTGGTTTGATTACTTTTAAAAACTTATTTGTAGAGAAAATTTCCCAAAATTTTTTCAAAAATACAAACCAAACGAACCCTAAGTTTTTAACTTATTTTGTCTTTTGATAAATTAATTAGTCACAGTCATTTTACCAATTAAGGGGTTGTTTGAGATGTCCTAAATAAGTGTACTTTTTGACTTTTTATGAAATATGAATTGGGTTTGAAGTGATGTGGTAGAGAGGTGATGTGACTTAAATAGGATGATGTGACTTAAATAGGATAGTGACTTTTTAACTTTTTGACTTTTTTTTGAAAATGTCAAACCAAGCCTAAAATTTTATTATCTAATTATCAATTAATTATCGTATTAATACATGATTAAGGGCTAGTTTGGCATGTACTATAAGCTAAAAAGTCAAAAAGTCACTATCTTATTTAAGTCACATCATCTTATTTAAATCACATCACCTCTCTAACACATCACATCACATCAAACCCAACCTAAACCCACCAATAAATCAAAAAGTACACTTTTTTAGGACATCCCAAATCAACCCTAAATCTAAAAATCAGGCCTACAAATTTGCTATTGCAAATCATCCCTGGATTTGGCGGGCGATGAAACGGGTGCTCTGTTTCTCTCTCTCTCTCTCTCTGTTTCAGAGTCAGACAACCAAAACATACAAGTCTTCAGGTTCATCGACTTGGTGTCATCAAACAGAGGACCACCCGAACTCTCTCTCTCTGTCCCCTAAAACTTTGCGAAATCCAAACCTTTGATTTCAAGAAGAACCATTTAGAGATTACTCAGAGAGACCCAGATGGGTTGTTCTGCGTCCAATATCGGTTGTTCTGCTTCCAACACCAGAGAAATAGAGCATAACGTGGTGTCTATCTCTAGAGCGAGAAAGCGCCTCATAAAATCGGCAGTACAGAGTCGTCACGAGCTCTCAATCGCTCACTGTAAATACAATAAATCGCTTCACTCCATGAAGCGTCACAATTAGTACATAGTATAAAAATATGTAAAAAAGAATATGTCCGTAATTAAACTCTTTCAAGTTGGTTTCGTTGATCAGAATTGTTACACTTTATTAAGATATTAATTGTTAGAATATATAATATATTATGTTAGTATAATATTATGTATATTATTATGTTTAGCTTTAGCTTTAATAATTAGTATAGCTTTAGCTTTCATAATTAGTGTAGAATTAGCTTTCATAATTAGCGTGCTTTAGTTTTATGCTTTCGGTGGCTCTCTCTCTATAAGAAGAGAGCTAGGCTCCCTTTGTAAATCAATCCATGAAATACACATTTCATTTATTCACTTGTTCTCTCTCTCTATCAATTTTATCTTACAAACCCTATGTAACAAAATTCTCTAGCGTAGACTATAGTCCAAAAAAATCCAAAGTTCCAAACACAAAAACAGGGACTCTGCATGTTATTCTACACATACCTTCACTCTGCTGTCATAAATTCCATAATTGAACTGAACTCTTGTCTCTCTAAGGGAATAATCAACACCTTCACACCAGTGAGGCCGTGGATATGGATCGCAGGTCCGTCTATGTTGTAGCTTTATCTGCATTGTCGTCGCCGGCGTTGGAGGTCAATCTTCGGTCACACCTCCTGTGGTGTCCGCTCCGCCGGTTTCAGCTCCACCACCGGCCACTCCACCTCCGGCTACTCTATCACCAGCTACTTCGGCCGGCAACATTGCCTTCACTGTCCGTTGGAGTTTTCAATACACACACACCACACATAAAGCTACACACCATTCACACGGCGCACACACACACCATACACTCACCATGCACACTGGTACACTCAAGAAACACTCACACACAGGCACTGATCTCTCTCTCCACACACAGAACATCCACTCTCTCTCTCGGCTACATATACAGATACACACACACCACACGGGGGACACACGGACCAAACACACATGAAGATGGACAACAAAACAGAGCTCTCTCTTCTCTCTCTAAATTCCTACATGAAGATGGACAACAAAACAGAGCTCTCTCTTCTCTCTCTAAATTCCTAGGATGTTCTCTCCCACCTCTCTCTCTCTCTGATCATACACAGACCCAGCATGCATGGATACTACCTACACACAACACCGTGCACACACATTCTGGGTTTTGACCATTGACACCATTGCCTGCCACAGACTGAACAAAAAAAAAAAAAAAAAAAAAAAACCCCAAAATCGTGTAAAACTTGCCCTATCCCTTTCACTCTTATTTCCCAACTCTCTTTCTCTCTCTCTCTCTCTCTCTCTCAAAAAACCTCACAAATCATACTGGTAATCTCACAAATTCTCCTCTCTCTCACTCGACTCTCCACTCTCTCTCGCTCGACTCCCACTTTGATGAAGATATGAAGATTTTGATCGATTGTTGATGAAGATTTGAAGATTTCGATCTGCTGTTGATGAAGATTTGGATCGATTCATAATCGGTTAGCCTAATTTGGTTGTATGAATCCAACTCTTTGTCTCTGTAATCCCTGTGTCTTTATTTCAGCTCCCAAATTCTCTTCGACTCATAGCTTTGTTCGATTTCGAAGATCAACATCAACGGTAACAACATGAATTTTTTCCAATTCAATTTATTATTATCAATGCGGTGCAGATTCTGATGTCGAAACATCTTTTTGATTCGAAGATTCATTTTATTTTTTATTTTTATTTTTTTAGATTATTAAATCTTGATTTGCTTTGGCTTTAAAACTTGATCTGAGCATTTCTCTAGATTGTGTTGCAACAAACAACTACAGTAGTCGGCTGCGGCTTCTGCTTCTCATGCACCTAACGTGGCTACTTCTATGCCAGGCACCGCTGCCAATACAGCTCAGGATCCATCGGGTGATCCTATTCCTCTAGTCCAGACAGATCCAGTCCCGGTTCAAATGTCTAGAGCTCCAGCCGAGGCACCTTGCGAGTTTGAGTTTGACCCGATCCTACTTAAAGTCAACAAGCTTTAAAAGTTATTCAAGAAAGTGCAGGGGTTTAGGTCTATCTGGATATTGAGGACGGATATACAAAGTCTGTCGTCACTTTGCCGAAGTGGTTCAAGATGCCGCATATTAACCATTTTGATGGCTCTAGAGATCAAATGGTGCATCTACGCCTATTTTGCAACCAATGGGTTTGACCAGAATTTAGAAGCTACCAAAGTCTTCTACATCGGTCCGGCATGACCCCGTAAACTGTTCCGACATTGATTCCGGTCAGCTTCTATATCGGTCCGTCATGACCTCGTAAACTGTCCTGCTACAACGGTCTGACATGGCCATACAGTGTCTTCACCAACAGTCCGACACGACCATACAGTGTCTACTATCCTCTTTTATTTTATGTATTAGTTTATCTTCATGTTTTGTTCCTTTCCAAACTCAAGTTGGTTTTACCTATCCTCCTTGAGTTTGAGGGGGATGTTAGAATATATAATATATTATGTTAGTATAATATTATGTATATTATTATGTTTAGCTTTAGCTTTAATAATTAGTGTAGAATTAGCTTTCATAATTAGCTTGCTTTAGCTTTTTGCTTTCGGTGGCTCTCTCTCTATAAGAAGAGAGCTAGGCTCCCTTTGTAAATCAATCCATGAAATACACATTTCATTTATTCACTTGTTCTCTCTCTATCAATTTTATCTTACAAAGATGAAGAAAGAAAAACAGAGGTTTCAATTCCATCATCAAAGAATTGTTCTGGGTGGGACTTTTTCAATCCGTTTGATGATGATCAGAGGGCTGTGAAGGAAGCACAGGGTAAGGATGGTGATGCTAATGTGAACCAGGGGGAGAACAGGGGATTGGGGGTGAATGATAGTTGTGGAAATGGGAGAGAATTGATGGAAGCATTGAAGGATGTGGTGGAACATTTTGTTACGGCTTGTGAGAGTGGTGTGGAGGTTTCTAGAATGCTTGAGATCAACACGGCTTCTCTTCTTCAATCCTCTGGTTCTGAGCAAATTCAGGGTTAGTAAATTATTCTATTTTTAATTTCATCTTTTGGGTTCATACTAAACCCTGCATGTGCTTGGTTTTTGCTTCCTGCAATCCTTTCTTATATTGCATTTATGGAGAATTTGACTCTAGTTACTAGGTTAATTTATTTTTTTTTTATTTTTTTTTTATTTTTTTATTTTTTTTACATGTACAAAATTAAATCATATAAAATATCAAAAATTTACTAGTTGGGTTGGAAATATATTTATTTTAATATTTTTTTAACTTTTTATATAAAAAAATATATATAAAAACTGGAGAAAAAAAATCTTTTAACTTTTTTGGATAAATTACACCGACACCTCTTAATTTGATTTAATCACATCCCACCTTTCAGCGTTCTGAAAGTTACATTTTCACCCGTGTGATTAATTGGGTCATTTCACAAATCTCCTACTATATAAAAGATAACAACTTCTAATAGAAAAATAAAAGAAATTACATTAAAAAATAAATAAATAAAGCAAACAACAACTCCTAATAAAAAAAAAGAAGAAATTACATTAAAAAATAAATAAACAAAGTATAGAAAAGGAAAAAAAAACAGAGGTAGTAAAGCAAAATAAGAAAAGAGAAAGCACATGAGTTCAATGTCTTTATTCCGTCTAAATAATTACAATGACATGGAGGGATTAGTGTAATTTTTCAAACGTCAAGGAGTGATATGTATTAAATCCAAACCTCATGGAAGTGTAAGTGTAAATTACCCAACTTTTTAATATATTTCTTTGAATTTTTTGATTTTTTTTAATGTCTTTGATTTTTTTACTTTTTTTTAGTTCTCAAACAAGTCAAATTTAGGAGAAATTATCTTATTTTTCAGAAATTTTATGTTGGTGGTGTGCCTAACCAATAGTAAGGACTAAATAAATATATGACCCTTACAACAAAACAAATAGTAGATAAAATATGACATTTTATTAATCAAACACATAAACACCTGGGCCTTATTTAGTTTGTGTTTTTGAAACAAATTTTGGAAAAAAAAATTTAAAATTTTATTTGGTTTAGTGATTTTGAAGAAAATTTTCCAAAATCCCTTTCTATCTTCCACACATCAATCAATCACTTTTTCTCTCTCTTCTCTTATTTTCAATCACTTTTTCTCTTACACACATCTACTCAATTATAACAAAATATCAAATCATTCCAAACGCCTACACTCCAAAACTATTTTTAAAATATACAACCAAACAAATCAATAATTTTACTAAACTCTTTTCCTAAAATTCTTATAAAAAATTTATCCCTCAAAATCAAACCAAACACACCGTGATCTTCGTAACCTACTAGATAATTTCGGCAGAAGTAGATAAAATGGATGTTTGAAAATCATCCAATAAGATACCTCTTGGCCCCCACTATATTATACATTATTATATATATATATATATATATTTTTGTGGGTTTATAAAAAGAAAAAACAATGTAAATTAGAACCTTTTTCAAAACTTTAGAAAACAACTTAAAAGTTAGAAGTGATTATTGGTGTTTTCAAAAAATTATTCCGAAAACAGTTATAAAAAACAGATTACCAAACAAGTTTTTTTCCCTCAATTTTCGTTTGCTTTCAACTTTCAAGAAAACAAAAATGAGAAATGAAAAATATTTCTCTTAAAAAGAAGTTCCTCTTGAGTTATTATATCCATCAACCAAAATTTCATACACTTGACATTTCTTTTCACACACTAGTATATTTCCATGGTAAATTGATCTATAGTCATCATATATAACTGTTTATTTATCAAATTATCGAATTCATCTGAATACAGATGGCCCAAATAAGATTGTCCAACCAATCAGATGGTGCGGATCGTCTTCTTCATCCGGTCCTTCCTCCTTTAAGAGCTTCCTTGCATCCAGTTCCTCAATGCAGACAGAATTCAAGAATGATATTTTTGATGAATATGGAGGAATGGTCTCCGGAAGCCATTCATTGACTCTGGGAAGATTATATGCTTGGGAGAAGAAGCTTTATGAGGAAGTGAAGGTAATATATATATATATATATGTCAACAACAATAGTAGTTTCGGGTGCAAAATGAAATTCATGAGACATATAGGAGTTATTTAAAGGAAAAACAGAAATATTTGATAGGAATAAATGGTGATAAATTTTGTGGGATTGGATTTTTATAATAGGCTTGTACCTCTTTTTTCTTTTTCTTTTTTTAATTTAATTTAATTTTTTTTAAAAATGTTTATCAACATTACACTCAGGCTGGAGACCATATGAGGAAAATTTATGAACAGATATGTATACAATTAAGAAACCAGGATACTAGGGGAAAGGGCTCAATGGACAAAACCAGAGCTGAAGTAAGAGATCTACATTGCAGAATCTTGGTTGCAATTCGCACCATTGAATCAATCTCCCAAAGAATTCAAAAGGCGAAAGATGAAGAGCTGCATCCACAGCTTGTTGAATTGCTACACGGGTAAGATATCTGTTTGATTGTGTTTTCGTTTTTTTGTTTTCTGTTTTTGTTAGTCTCTAAACCCCCCCATTTTCCCATTGTGCAGTCTAATGAGAACTTCGAAGACAACATTGGAATTGCACGAAACTCAAAAACAAGCTGTGCGGGGAAGAAATAATTTTTCTCGTATAATCCCGTTGACTAAGTCCACGCTCCTGCGTACGACGTCGCTTTGTCACCTGAAAACACAAACGTGAGCTAGCCGGCGGGTGTGTGCCGGAAGCCTCTCCGATGCCTAAGTCAGCAAACTTGACAAATAGACAAAGCCCAATGTATTCAGAAAGCAAAATTGTATGTTGTGTTGTGTTATGTTACCTCCTCCAAGGTGATAGTTGTGAGCTTTTATAGGTTTCGTGTGGCATAATCCTAGTAGGACTTTTATTCCTCCATGCAGAGTCCTCCTAGGATTCATACTTCTAAAGGATAATACTTATCCTTTTATACCCCCCACTGCTTAAACCAAGTGTGATGGTTTTTACCGCGGCCGAACTACCAATTGACCGAAGTAAAACTGGCCATGCTGAGCCACAAAGTAGGCCGAACTATCCTTAGTTCGGTCCTTCCTTTTACTTCTCATTTCGGTTCTCCTTTGCATGAATCATGATATGTTGGGACCAAGCTACCGAGCAGCAAGGCCTTGACCGATCTATCCAGAATACGTCATGACCGGATTAACTTGGAGACCGGACTAACTCCAAGTCGTCCAAACCGAAGTAGCTTCACAATTCCTGTGACGAAATAACTTTATTTCTCTTGAGCCGGAGTAACTTCTCGGCCCATTTTACCCAGTCCGTCGTACTTTGGGCCATGAAGTCCATCTCATAGCTCGGTCCAATTTTCACCAAAAATTACCCTCTCAATTGCCCCTTAATTCCATCTGCATAGTATGATTGGGATTACCTAGTGACCAGCCGAGCTAATGTTTTTAAGCCTTTCCAGCCGAACTAAAAAACCTCCTTTAGCTTCTCTAGCCGAACTTGCTTTACTCCGGGTTTCGCTTGTCCGGTCAAAACGTCTCTTCAATCACTGACTGTAACGCTTCACTTACCAATGACACGTGGCAGGCTCTGATAGGCTGTGAGCAGCTGTCACGCCGCCCTCGTACCACGAAAATTTTGAACAGTTCCTGCTTTTTTTTTTTCCCTCTCTCTCTTTTCACAAAACAGCCCTTTCATTCTTGGATCAATCACCTATTCTATTCATCTTCTCTCTTCGTGCCTCTGCTTTTCCAACTACCAAGCTTGTGTTCTTCATTTGCTGCCACTGTTTTCGTCTCCAGCTCTCCCTTCTTTAATCTGGTAAACTGATCCATCTTCCCTGTTCTGTTTGTTTTGTGCATTTGTTCTATGCATTTTGTTTACTGTATTTTTGCAAAATATATTTTTTCATTTCTGCTTCACCTCAATACTTCCTTGAAAAAACATTAGCAAAACTTATGCGCATAAGACCAATTCTGTAGAAAATTAGTCTTGAATCCCAAATCAAGTAGCAACCGAACTAGGATACTGTTTGTCCTATATAGGTAGATCACTTTAGATAATAACTGAACTAGAACTCCAGAAATCAGTAGTTTCAGTAGATTATCAACTCCTGAATAACTCTAGCCGTGATAAGGCCACCGAACGAAGTTTGACTTTAATAAATAAGGAACCTCGGTCTTCAACCGAGCTAAGCCTTTGGGGCTAAGCCAGCTTTCCTAGTTTCTAAACCAAACTCAGAAAGATGCCCCTAGAGGCTTAATCGAAGTAACAAAACTCATAGTTCAACCGGTTTAAGCCATTGGGGCTGAACCAGCTTTCTTAGTTTTTTTTAGACCGAACTCAGAAAACTGCCCCTAGACGATGAACCGGTCTAACAAAATTGTTTCTAAAGCCAGTATGCCGAGATGCCTGCTAATAAGAACCTTGCTAAAAACCGAGCCACCAAGCACTTTGGTTGAATCGAGATAGAACCTATCCATAAAGCCGAAGTAGGACTCTTTTACCTCGCTTTTAATTTGTAGCACGGTCCAATGATCTGTGCTTAACCCCTGTGTTTTCTACTTTGCAGACTTAGGTTGCCCAGGCACTCCTGCGTGCGCTCAACCGAGCTACTGAGCACAATTTTACGACCGAACTAATTTATCCATAACTTAAAAAATAAATG